AAGCTGGCAAGGTGTCGCTCGATGCATATCATAATTTAGTCTCTATGTGTATTGTGGTTTTCAACGAAATTGACAACACAACAAGCTCTTGGAATGCTGCAACAGATACGACTCCTAGCTGCGTGATTGGTTCCTACATATTAACTGTTCTAGAAAGAGATTTACGGCACTTGCAACACAAGTAGGTCATACAAGTGCCGAAGAAAAGAGTTGTTATGAGAGTGTAAATAAGTAGAAATAAGGACGATGGGTGTTTGACGTATAAGGAGGAGCAAGCCACACCAGAGAACCCGTTTACCAGCAAAATAATATAAACATACTCTTAAATGTATATAATATATTATTATTGTTTGATTAGCATCTTGATGACATCAGGGACTCATCGTTACATTAAATCGAGAGATTTATCTCGCTTATTAGTGGAGCAAATTTTACCAAATTTCTCACATACAACAAGCATAGTAAGGAGTCTTAAAATCTGCAATCAAATTTGAGAAAAAGTTTTGCTTCCATGACTACGGCGGCCATATTGGATACTATTGATATGTCTTACGTAATGAATACCGCACTTATTTTTCATGGAAATATTTTTTGTTATTGGGTGCATGTTGACAAACGTTAGATCTACAAATTTGTCTGTTGAATTTTCCTAAAACGGATTAGAACATTTTTAATGAATTTTTTTCCTGAGGTCATATTCAAGTTTGTAAAAAATCCGTGAAAATCCACTTTCCAGGCACAACCAACAAATGATTATTCCATATATAAAAAGATTATTCACATTAATTTTTACGATTACATCTTTTCTTCATTCTGTAAAAATGTCATGAAGATTGGATAAAAAAAATGGTGGAGTCATTCAAAAAAGTATTAGAACAACCGCAATTTGAGAAAACAGGCGATAAAGAAAAATAAAATATTAACTTTATGAGGAAATGGTGGTGAAAAACATGCCAAATATGGGAAGAAATAAGCCTTTAGGGGGTTCTAATGCTATGAAATATTTGTAAGAGAGGCAGATGAAACTAAAAATGCCTTCAACTCAAAATCCATAATTTTGAGCCGGATTGGGACTTTTGGGGTGCAGACCCCCCCCCCCCCCCCCCTCCCTTCCTTTAAAGTTTTGTTTCCTGTAGGTGGTCGTGGTCTATGTTTAATTAATGGATGGTATTCTGGTGCTTTGGTGTTATTTGCTTCTTATGTCTTACTCTAGGGTATCGAATAAAAAAATGGGGGGGGGGGGTAGGAATAAAAGGGGGGTTAGGATGTACAAGTGATTTAGTAGGTTACTTATGACAACTTTTCCCATTTAGGAACAAACCAGTTTCATTAAAAAATGAAAACCAATGTACAAAAGTTTTTTTAAATGAACGGAAAAGTGAGGTAACCAACCCGGTACCGGTGCTAATACTGAGAGTAATTTGCCATTCACCCACTCAAGGCTATTGTAGCCCCATTCTCACTACGTTTCCAAACCACCTTATCTGTTGTCTTTCGATGTATTTCACGCTCGATTCGACACCCACTTGATGTCTAACACCTTCATTTCTTTGTCTATATTTTCTCGTGATGTTATGCGTTTTTCCAAAACATTTCATATCCCTTGCTGTTATTTTACTTGGTTGGCTTTCATGAGGGTCCAGGTTTGTTTGTTTTGTTTTGTTTTTGTTTTTTTGTTTTTTTGGTAAGTGTTTTACAGCGCTCGCAACTGCATAAGGTCATATGAGCGCGCGGGACACACCTAATATTTTCATTTGGCAGGACATTTTTGAATTTTGACCGGGTGGCGGCCGAAGCCTACTCTTATCGATTTTAGACCACCAAGGGATCTTTAACGTGCGCAACTTGCACACGGGACCTCTGAGATTTTTCGCCCTTGTCCGAGAAGGCTAGGTGTAGATCTTTCCTACCAGAAGATCAGGGGTATGGCAGAAAGACAGCAGTCAAGAAGGAGCCAAGGAGTAGCAGTAGAAAGGCTGTAGACAGAGTCAGGAGCCCAGAGGAGGGGGCAAAGGAGATGAGGGGGTGGGGGCAGAAAGTGGAAATGAAAGTAGACAACAGAACATTGCTAGAAAGCGGGAAAGGAGGTGAAAGCAGACAACTTTAGCGAAGAAAAATGTTTGGTTGCTACCCGGATTCGAACCCGGGACCTTTGCATGAGAGGCCAACACTTTAACCTCAGGCCACGAGAGCCACCGGGTCCAGGTTTGGCACTGATAGCACAGAGTTGGTATACATATTGATTTGATGAGTTGTTTCTTTGTCTCCATTGGGATATTATTTTGATGAGAAAAGATGGGTACTAGTTGGTGTATGACCGCATTTGCCTTTTGTACTCGTGTTTCAATTTCTTTGTCCATTGTCCTGTCGTAATGGCTCTAATCTTTGGTACTTATAGAACCTACTTGTGTTGCTCGTGCCGTAAAACACTCACAAAAACTATAAATAAAACTAAGCAAACCATGATTACAGAGGTTATACAAAGAGGGCAAAAATAAGGTCAGTATGGTATTCAGAGATCTGCATCCCACTCAAAATCTTTTTTCCAATTATCAGACACAGAATTGTTCTTCCTCTAGGGAAATTCAATATCAGTTCTCTTTGGCGCTTTCAGATATGGAGTATTAACTATTATTAAGTGGTAGTAAACATTTGGAATTCTTAAATCGAGATCGTGACCGAGATTAAGGCTTTCAGTTACGTCTTGTAGGCATGGGAATAGCGAATGAATTCATCATAATAAAATCAGCTTTTCCAATTCCATAAAACAGTTACAAACTGGGTCAAATGTCAATTAGAGTGGTCTTTACGGATAGTTGAACTTACTTTACTGAACTTCAGTAATGTCTAGATGACGTCAAACAGCTGGCGAGAGTAGAGCGGTGTTTGTTGCTAAATCTGGCTAGCTTGAAAGACAATAATGGATGCTTCACGATTGTTCGAGATCAGTTCAAAGATATTCACCGAGAAGGCAGAAGGCAATCTTTTACATAAAGCAGAACGTCCCACTCTGCACACTGTTATTAGACTATTTTACTACTGTATGAATGAATTTTCAAACAACGTATAATTTCTGTCAATTTCTTAATCGATACACTTTCTATCATTTTGGAGACTGACCTCTTCGTCCCTGCCTATCAGCTCGAATCTTGGCTTAGCAGGCTAAATACTGGAAAACCTAAAGATCTGTACAGGGAAACCAACCTTCTTACCACAACACCACAGATACTAGAATTAGTTGCTCTCTCTCTCTCTCTCTCTCTCTCTCTCTCTCTCTCTCTCTCTCTCTCTCTCTCTCTCTCTCTCTCTCTCTCTCTCTCTCTCTCTCTCTTTGCCCATATCTACAGTAGCCTCTGGCCAGCTTTTGTCTCGTGTCGATGTACGTGTACCTGACGAGAGCTCAATCTTGCAAAAATTTACCCTCGGTATGAGTCCCACCTTTGAAACAGTTTACCTGTTTTGCTGAATGTAAAAAGAAACCATTTTTTAAAATGCTGATATGTTAGGTCAGATAGAAGACAGAAAGCTTAAAGAACTTTTGGAATATGGAAACAAAATATTATACTAGCTGGGGCCCCCTTTCGATGAAAGGAATGCTCGGGTTTTTTTTTACTTCAACTGAAAGTCATTGGCCTACTATATTTACATTCTACTGGAATGGAGCAATAAATCTTGTGAGATGCAATATATTAGGTCTAAATCTATACTCTCAAGACAAAATGAGCCTCACGAAATATCACTTCCGGCACTTCCGCTGTGAAGGACAGCCACACAAATTTGTTTCGTTTCTCATTGGAATAATCACAAAGGCTAAAGAAGAATGGGAACTTTTTGTCAAATATTTTGTCTAAATTCAGGAAATGAGTAGTTAAAAGATCGGGCTCCGTCATGTGGACACATCTATCATTTTGCAGGTACTTGCTAACGTTCAACTTTGTAGCTGTCGTAGTTCTATGGGAAAAGTTCCAAGTTGCCGAATATATAATATATTAAAAAACTGAAGAAAAAGTCAAATGCACAAATTATGATTCTTTAAATTTTTCTCTTCTCCTTTCTCAACAACCTCTCCTTCCTTCCCACCCACCATCTATCCATCTATCCATCTATCTATAGATAGATAGATAGATAGATAGATAGATAGATAGATAGATAGATAGATAGATAGATAGATAGATAGATAGATAGATAGATAGATGGATAGATAGATAGATAGTGTTGTCCAAAAAAGGAAAACGCGTTTACCCAATTATTGTGTTAAAGCCTTTAACTACTCGGTCTTGAAGTATAAATTTGTAGCAAAATAAAAATGTTCCTACCTAAAATTCGGACAGGGCAACATTGTGCGAGATCAAAGAAAGTTAGGAACATTTGCGCTTACATTGGAATACGTCAACATTAGTTGAATATACATGTACATGCATTGGATTTGAAATCAATGGAGACTATTTTGCCTCTGCGGTGAACAATATCTTATAATGGTATTCTCAAGCAGATTAGAAAACAGAGCATTTACAAAACCACACAAAATCTGAACATAACATTAAATGCGCCCTTTAGTATTTTGTTTAAGAGCCATTGGTATCGAGAAGAGCACAAACTCATTGTGCACGAAAGCTTAAACAGACAAATGACCGGGAAATATCAGGATAATGTAGATTTTTTTAGACCATCCAACAAAGGAATAAATGGGGAAGCAAGATTACCCACGTCTTGCACTTGATGATGATAATTTGATAATGATACCTCTATCTCTTTCTCCCGTATTTATAACCCCCCCCCCTTTCTCTCTCTCTCTCTCTCTCTCTCTCTCTCTCTCTCTCTCTCTCTCTCTCTCTCTCTCTCTCTTTCTCGCTCGCTCTCTCTCTATCTATCTATCTATCTATCTATCTATCTATCTATCTATCTATCTATCTATCTATCTATCTCTCTCTCTCTCAGTCTATCTGTCTATCTATCTATCCATCTATGTATAGATATATATTCACCTGGAGGTTAATTGGAACACCGTTTCAAAATGTGAGATTTTAAAAGCAGGGACGCAAATACCCCACTGTCTGTTTCTTTCTTTAAAATATTTTCTTTGCTGGGTGTACACAAATTACAATCCTTGTTTTTTATTCAGATCGTAGTTTCCATGACGTCATGATTATTTCCGTCGATTGTCACCTAACAAAACAACATTGTTATGGAATTCTTGCAAGAAGTGAACAGCTTTTTTCCGCTTCATATACAATGGAATGTCTGCCCAACTCATTAAAATTAGTATTATATTATTATGACATGATGTCGCGAAGTTCTACAAGAGTTCATTGAATTTCAGTTTGATACAAGAAGCAAGGCTAAGAATCTAATGCCGAAAACTCCATTGGGAACTTGTAGGTAGCTGTAAATGTAACAAAACGAGTGAAGGTATGTGTTCGTTCGTTCTCGGTCTCGTAGCTGAACGTTGTTTTTCTTTAAAGAGGTATTATGCTCTTACAAAATATAAAATGCCCTTCCCCCTCCCTGATCATCAATCATTTAATTATAGAGGCACCAGCCATCCATGTCCAGGTGCTGTTTTAGCCCCTTCCCCCTCCCTCTAGACTCTAGTCTTTCCCGTTTCCTCATTTCATATCCCCATCCACCTTCCCCTTTATTCCTTTTCCTATTACTGTCCTTCTCTCTCTCTCTCTCTCTCTCTCTCTCTCTCTCTCTCTCTCTCTCTCTCTCTCTCTTACTTTGTCGACATTTCTGTTGGGGCCACATGCTCTCCTCTCACTCTCTAACAAATCTCTCCCTGTCACACTTCCGTAACTGTCTACCTAACCCCCGCCATGCCTTCAACCAACCAAGGTATTCCCATCTTCTTTCCTCTCTCTTCATTCCTCTCATTCTCTCTCCTTCTCGCACAGTAATGTTCTTCATTAGACAATTTTAACTTGATCGGTCAACGGTATTGCATAACATACTGACATTGCATATTATGATATATTTAATCCGACCTTAATTAAAGCTGAATATATGCTATTGTGAAAGCAGTATAATATTATATACTAGCTGGGTCCCCTTTAGATGAAAGGAATGATCGTGCATTAACATCAAGTGAAAGTCATTGGCCTACTATATTTGCACTCTACTGAAATGGAGCAATAAATCTTGAGAGATGCAAAAAATTAGAAGGTCTAGATCTATATTCTTAAAACAAAAAGTGCCTGGCGAAATATCACTTCCTGCCCTTCCGCAGTAGATGACAGCTACACAGATTTGCTTCGTTTCTTAGAAGAATAATCACAAAGGCCAAAGAAGGATGGGAACTTTTAATTGAACATATTTGTCTAAATTCAGGAAATGAATTTTTTATTAAAAATCGGGCTTCGTTAAGGGGACCAGTCTATCTTTTTGCAGGTACTTGCCAACTTTCAACTCTGTAGCTGTAGTTCACGGTTAGTGAAAGGAAACCTCACTTGTTTACAATGGTGTTTTAGAAGACGAATTTTCCTAAGAACGAAAAACTGAAAATTAAACCACAGTGACTTAACGCTTCTTCCTACCTACTTGACTACCTACCTACCCCCCCCCCATACTTACCTACCTATCTACCACATACTCACCTGCCCACCTAATAATAATGATAATAATAAATGACATTTATGTAGCGCTCAACCTAGAATAAAGTACACAGGCTCTGAGCGCTTTACAATACAGTACAACGTACGACAGGAACTTAAAACGTTGTGTTCTGACTAAAGAAAATTATTTTTAAAATTCACCTTATTAACTTAAAAACAGAAACGACTTCATCTGACATTTGAATAAATCAAAAGATTTGATCTCTCTTAAAGTACTTGGTACACCATTCCAGATCTTGTGGCCTTGGTATTCAAATGCCCTTTCACCCATTGTTTTAAGTTTCATGGATGGTAAAATAAATTTCTTTTTGTCAGCTGATGACCTTAAACTGCGAGTTGGAATGTACAGTCTTAACAGATTTGACAAATATGATGGTGCACTATCATTTGAAACATTTGTGACATAGGGTGGCCAACTTGTACACAATCCTTTTCTCAACAGGAAGCCAATGCAAAGTTCGTAAGAGAGGTTTAGCAGAGTCTCGCTTTCTTTTCCGTAAAACTAAACGTGCGGCATTGTTTGGGACAGTTTGAAGTCTTTTAACTTTCTCCAGTAATATTCCTGATAACAAGGAGTTACAATAATCGAGTTTTGATCAAATTAAGCTAGTTACTAGTAAAGTAGTACACTTAGTATTGATCAGACGACGTATTTTACTAATTTTTCTTATTTCTAAATACATGCAGCTGATCAGAGGATTTACCTGAGCCGACATTGACAAACTGGAATCAAAATAGATGCCAATATTCTTAACTTTTCTTGAAAATACAATTTTTGCATCACCAATTGTAATGTGATCGTGGTCTACCTCTTTAACAGACTTTGCATTTCCTTCTAGAATGACTTCTGTTTTATTATCATTCAACCTCAATTTGTATGGTTCATCCAGTTTTTCACTACGGCAATACAATTTTCAGCACAATGGACAAGTTCATCTAAGTTGGTAAACAATGTTGAACCATAAATTGGGTATCATCAGCATAGAAATGGTACTTAAAGTCATACTTAACTATTTCCTTTACGAGTGGTTGAGTATAAATGGTGAACAAAACTGGACCGAGGACTGATCCCTGGGGGATCACATACTAAAGAGCATGATCTGACGACTTAAGCCCTTTAATAAAAACAGATTGGTATCGATTTGACAGGTAAGAAGAAAACCATCTAAGGGCAGTTCCGGATAATCCAAAAGATACTTCCAATGGCGTCAATAAAGTATGAGGGTCAATTGTATCGAAAGCTGCTGATAGATCTAAAAGGTTCAGAAAAACAACTTTTCCTGAATCACAGTCAGTAAGCATGTCATTCATGACTTTGAGAAGTGCTGTTTCTGTGCTGTGGTTAGCTCGATAGGCAGACTGGAATGGCTCTAACAGATTGTTCTCTTGTAAGTGATGACGAAGCTGCTCGAGGACAACCTTGTCAAGGATTTTGGACAAAAAAGGTAGATTTGAAACAGGTCTATAGTTCTTTAAGACATTCATATCTAAGTTTTGTTTCTTTAGCAAAGGTTTTAGAAGAGTGATTTTAAACGAATCTGGTACTGATCCACACACTAGAGAATTATTTATGATTTTAGTAATAAATGGGATCAGTTCGTCAATAGAGGAAGACAACAGAGAACTAGGGACAGGGTTGAGATCACAATGTTTGCTAGGGGATTTTAGAATTACAGATTTAATATATTCTTCAGAAACAGGTTTAAACGTATCAAGATTCACCCCATTATATACATAAAAATCACCAAATGTTTCATAGTCATCAACGTCGCTTCTTAGATTCTGGACTTTATCTGTAAAATAGTCAGCAAACTTTTCGGGTAGTTCTAAATCGCTAAACGAATTTGGGAGACGTGTCTCTTTGACTCTTCTTAATAGTTCATCACAAATGCTGAATGATTCTTGACATGATTTTGAATTTTTCAATTAAGAAACATAGTATTTCTTTTTAGCACATTTAGTTACAAATTCCTGCCCTTGCTTCTTTAATCTAAAAATGTGCTTGTGAATGGGGAGCCCTGTTTTAAGTCATTGTCTCTCTGCCTTCCTGCATTCGATTTTGGCAACTTTCACCTCAACCACGAACCATGGTCATATGGTCTAGTCGACAGACGACGAGTTACAAGTGGTGCGTGCTTGTCAAAAACTGCCCTAACAGTGGAATTATACAAATCAACGCAGACTGTTTTAAAGTTACTTAAAGATTTCAACAAATCCATTTTAAAATTATTAATGTCAATTCCTTTGATGTTCCTTGTAGACACAGAATGTTTTTCCGGCTTCGTCTACCACATCCAACACAATGAAAGATGAAGTAATGGTCAGATAATAGTTTGTCTACAACATAAATTTTTCTAAAAGCGTCTGAGTCTTTGTTGATGACGACCCCGTCAAGTGTGTGGCCAGAAAGATGGGTGGGTTCAGTGATGACCTGAACTAAGTTGTGTTGTCTGAATAATTCTGCCAAATGATGGAGAATCAAAGTGGAAATTAAAATCACCAAGCACAACAGGATAACCTTTCTAGACCGAAAATGACGATAAAAACTTTGCAAATTCTTTTAAGAAAGCAGATTCCGTTGATTTGCTAATCTTGCGGTATGGTGGGCGGTAAATACAAACGACGTTATAAAATTTGGAACCAAGATCCATAGATAAAGTCATAGCTTCAAACGTTGCGTGGTCACACTTAAGTGCAGTAGTTGTTATTTTAAGGCTCAAAGAACTTCTGTATATGGCAGAAATCCTTCCCCTCTTCGACCTTGGAGTGGAAAAGATTTAACGATGTATGTTAGGGGTACTAAATTAGCGATTGTCACTTCATAACGACATGGTGTTAATCAAGTTTCGGTGAGAAAAAAAGATATCGGTATGTTCCTCTGTGATGATGTCGAAAATATCTTCAGTTGTGTTTCTACACGATCGAACATTCATATAAGCCATCCGTATGTGTTGGCTGTGTTCCTGGAAAATATTGTCTGCATTAATTCTGTATAAGTAAGTGTGACACATTTTTCTGCTCTTGGAATTAGAAGAAGAACTCACTTTTCTCTGGGATATTTTAACTTCTATTTTCCTTTTACCTCCCCTTTTTGACCTTTTAGTTTTTGGTATACGATTTAAGTTGCTTTTTCTAAGTCTCCTCATAACACTTGGAGGTATGAAAACATGGTTCTGAGGTCGAAAGGACAACAGAGTGTCTGGAGAGTATGTAATTCTATTGTCCTCTTCAGTGAATACACTGTCTGTATTAGAGCCACCCTAACTAAAGGCTGGGAGTCCATTTGAAAAAGGTGTTCACTTGTCAAAGCAAATTCGTTGGACATTTTAACAAAGAGACCTGACCTAAAAATGAGTAATAATAATAATAATAATAATAATAATAATAGATAGCATTTGTATAGCGCATATCCCCGCTCAACAGCAGGCTCTATGCGCTTTACACTATATTATTACCCCCAGCAGACTATAGAACACTCAGAAACA